CCCATACCTATCCAAAAGGTGGTAGTGGACCCCATACCTATCCAAAAGGTGGTAGTGGACCCCATACCTATCCAAAAGGTGGTAGTGGACCCCATACCTATCCAAAAGGTGGTAGTGGACCCCATACCTATCCAAAAGGTGGTAGTGGACCCCATACCTATCCAAAAGGTGGTAGTGGACCCAATACCTATCCAAAAGGGGGTAGTGAACCCCATACCTTTCCAAAAAGTGGCAGTGGATCCCATACCTATCCAAAAGGTGGTAGTGGACCCCATACTTATAAAAAATGTGGTAGTGTACCCCATACCTATCCAAAAGGTGGTAGTGGACCCCAAACCTATCCAAAAGGTGGTAGTGTACCCCATACCTATCCAAAAGGTGGTAGTGGACCCCAAACCTATCCAAAAGGTGGTAGTGGAACCTATACCTATTCAAAAGGTGGTAATTGGCCCAATACATATTCTTTTGGGTGGTAGTGAAGTTAGTACATTGTGTGACGTGTTTTGGATCCTATAGTCATCCAGTTTGCAATAGTGTACCACATAGATATTCCCCCTGTAACATCGTTTTCTGTTGACGTTCCCACAATCCATTCTCTTGAGATTTCCACAGCACACACTATTGCATAATGTTGATTGGCGAAGCACCATTATTAAATGTAATATTTAAACTAATAGTGCTTATTATAATTATAAACCCCATACCCATCCAGTGGGTGGTAGTGGACCCAATATACTCATCCTGTTAGTGGTAGTGGACCCCTTGCCAATCCTGTGGGCGGTAATGAACCCCATACCAATCCTGTGGGCGGTATTGGACCCCATACCCATTCTTTGGGTGGTAGAGGACCCCATGCCCATCCTGTGGGCAGTAATGGGCCCAACACCAATTCTGTGGGCGGTAATGAACTGTACCCATCCTGTGGGCGGAAGTGGACCCCATACCCATCCTGTGGGTGGTATACCACCCACATGATGGATACGAAATTGTCTCTATTTTCCGCTTGTTACAACTTGTAATAAAGTTGTTACATCTTGGCTTAACGTGTTTATGACGTATTAGAACAATGTTACAACTTGCTATATTGGTTGTTATAACTGGTTAGGAGGAGTTAAAACTTGTTGGAACGTTGTACCAACGTCGTAGTTTCGGTGTGTGTTTGGCGGGTAGTGACCGCATAACCATCCTGTAAGCAGTAGTGGACCCAATACCCATCGTATGGGCGATAGCGGACCCCCATAACCATTCTGTTGGGGGTAGCGAACCCATACCCTTCTTGTGGGTGGTAGTCACCCCATACCCATTCTGTAGGCAGTAGTGGACCCCATACCCATTCTGTAGGCAGTAGTGGACCCCATACCCACCCTACAGGTGGGAGTGGAGCCCATACCCATCCAATGGGTGGTAGTGGACTACATTCACATCGTGTGACTAGTTGTGAATCCTATATCCATCCGGTGGGAGGTTGTGGACCCCATACTCATCCTGTGGATGATATTGGTCCCCAATCCTATCTTGTGGGCAGTAGTGGACACCATACCCATCCTGTGGATGATAGTGGACCCCATACCCATCCTGTGGAAGATAGTGGTCCGCAGACCCAGCCTGTCGGCGGTAGCAGATCCCATACCCATTCTGTGGGCGGTTGTGGGCCCCCATCCCCCATCCTGTGGATGGTTGTGGACCCCATACCAATGCTGTGAGCGATAGTGGACGCCATACTCATCCTGTGGGCGTTAGTAGACCAAATACCCATCCTGTGAATGACAGTGGTCCCCAAACCCATCCTGTGGTTGGTAGTGGACCCCATACCTATCCTGCGGATGATAGTGGTCCGTAAACCAACCCTGTGGGTGGTAGTGGACCCCATACCCATCCTGTGGATGACAGTGGTCCCCAAACCCATCCTGTGGTTGGTAGTGGACCCCATACCTATCCTGTGGATGATAGTGATCCCCAGACCAATCTTGTGGGGTGGTAGTGTACCCCAAACCTATCTTGTGCATGATAGTGGCCCCCATACCCATCCTGTTGGCGGTAGTCGACCCCATTCCAATCCTTTCGATGATAGTGGTCCCCAAACCAATCCTGTTGGTGGTAGTGGACCCCAAACCCATCCTGTGGGCGGCAATGGATCCAATACACATCCTGCGGATGACAAAGAGTAATGCTAACTGGGAATGAATCTAACTGGAAAAATGTGTAAGTGGGATACCACAGGGGTCCAATTTAAGGCAGAACCATCTTATCGCATGAGCCCGATGGGCACTTGCCTGGGGCCCCACGAGCATAGGGGTCCCACAAGCATAGGACATGGAACCACACTTACATAATACAACCCTACATCCCGGTGTGGGACTAAATAATAAATATTTAAGATATATATTTAAAGGTGAATAACCCTTTAACCATAAATGAAACGTAATGTTTTGAGTGGAGAGTAAATGTTTTATAATGTATCATCTAATGTGTCTTACTGAGTATTATTGTCTTTTTCAAGCCTTGTGTATTGTTCAAATGTTTATCGTGTTGATAAGTTGCTGCTCTATAGCATGTTGTTAATGTTTTATCACCAGTTATGTTAAGTGCCAATAAAATATAAAGGTTTTTAATATTATCGACAATTTACTTTTTGTTCCCGTAAGTGGTAGTCGTAGAGGTCCCAGCACACTGGTTTGTCCTGGAGACCATAATCTTGTTAGGACGGCCATGTTTTGGGCCTAACCTTTTTTTTCTTATACATCAATGACAGAGATGAGAATATTACAAACGACTGCATGTGAAACCTGTGTAAAACCTGTACTAACTGTAGACACCTGCAATAGATATCGATATCTTATCTTAATCTTCATCTCATCATCTTCATAGTTTTCTACCTAATGCTTGTATCTAATGCCATCAATTTCCTAAATGTCTGTACCACCTGTTTGTGACCGCTGGTTCAGACGACAGGTGTCATCATGTTGACTACCTGTTCTACTTCGATCCGCACAAGGGCGGCTTACAGGAAAGAGTGCCTCTGGGACTTGACTAAAGTGCCTTCCATGGCTCAAGTGCACGTAAGATAGGACGTGCTTCACACCACTAATTGGGGGGAGGGGAATGGAAGGCTGGAAAGAGGAATAATGAAAACAGTTGGAAGATTGTTTTGAAGTTAGGAGAGGTCTGAATGTTTCCTGCATGAATTCTCTGTCGTTGTGGACACATTGCAGACGATAATTATGAAGCTTGTGATTATTTTGTCCATGGCAGCGTGTTCGTGGTGGCCGAGGCGAGACATGACCCGCTTCCTCACTATTGTCTGGGTGATGATGACCTTCGTCCTGGCCACTATCTACCGCTCTAATCTGATGGCTGCGCTGATCCTGCCCAAGCTGCGTCTTCCCTTCCACAACATGGAAGAGCTGGTCCAGACAAGCATTCCTACCTCAATAGTGGGCGGTAGTGCTCTCGATCAGATCATCAAGGTAGTGTTCTCGACCAGGCCATAAAGGTAGGGTGCTCTATTAACGCAGTGCACCACCTTCCTTCATTATCAACTGTTTCATATTAAAAAATCCAATTTCCTTTAACAAAAAATAGTGCTTGAAATGTAAAATATTATAATTTTGATACATCGAAACCCTAAAGTTATCGGTATATACCACCATCAAGGAGCTCTGAACTACAATATTAACAGTACCAACATTACTACCCAGCACTCGCCCCCATCACCACAGATCCATAATTATAATACTACACCAGGATCGTCACCACTATGCAACAACACACCCATAAGTCAACACAAAACCACAACACTAATGTGGTTATTAAGTGCTTGTTGATGGTGGTCTGTGTAGTGGTACTTTAGGACTGGGATGTGTGTGTCAAGTCCGGCTGGGATTACGTATAGTGAGGTGGTATTGATGGTTTAATGTGATGTCACAATGTGTTGGTGTTCTGGGTGTTGTGTTAGATCATACTGATGGGAGGTGGATCATGGAGCTGTGTTCTTGTTGTCACATGCTTTGATGTGGTAGTGGGTGTGGTACTGGTCTGTGATAGTGTGTGTGTCACGGCGGGTTGTCTCCATTGATGGTGTCGAGAGCTGTGGATGTGTCGCTTCTTGTGTAGTTGGCCCCCAGGGCCCTTTCGTTGTCTTAGTGGTTCCCTCTGTTTGCATAATAAGTGTCCAGTATTCATTTTGTAGACTGCTTAGATTAGAACGGTTAGATCAATGATTTTAGCACGACTCTTCTTCATATTTATTTCATGTTTCTTCACTGGGAAGAAAGTTGGGAAGTCAACTCTCTAAAGTGCATTCTACAATTTTCTTGGGCCAGATGCGTTTCGCTGAGGGAAGCTTTTCCTGAAGCACTCTTCAGCCGAGAGTGAAGTGAATGTATGGTGAAGTGAAGTGAGGTGTTTCACAGTCAATGTCGTCTGGGGTAGGTGTCCAGCAAGGAGGAAATTCTGTCTTGCGCTTGAGAATGGTAAGCTTTACCTATGTGTAAGCTGGCTGTTGATGGCTGGACATGCCCCAATGTCCATTTGATAGGTAGCATCTCGGCTGTGTCTAGATTATCTTATTGTTGTGTCTTGATTATTTTGTTAATGGTCAGGATATTTTTAGTGATGGTCGGGTTGAAGGAGGGAATTATCAGGGGACAGTGCCAAGCTATTACGGCTATATAGCACTTGGAATGGGGGTCAGGATAAGGATTTGGGATGGGACGGGAAAAAGGAATGGTGATGATCAGGTTAAGTGAAGAATTTGTTGTCTTCGAAACAGCCATGTTTATGGTGTTTTGCCACGTGTTTTGAAAGAGATGATATTGTTTTGCTTACATACTGAGATCGTTGGGACAGACAGCCCCCAAGTGGGCATGTGAATATATAAACGTCTGTGGTGTTTCATGGCGTTTTGCTTGGTGTCTGAGCATTTCTTCATAAGCATGGTAATGCTCTTCTAGTTAATGTCAGTAGGTCGATACGTTTCTGTTAATAATGGCTTTGAAACTTTATTTCATTTTGTTGACCATTATAAAGAAGTCCCTGTACAATAATTTGATAGGTGGGACATATTTTGAACCGTTGGCCGTTTCTTCAGAGGTAGCATGACGGCCAGGGCACTCGCAACTAGCATGACGGCCAGGACACTCGCTACTAGCATGACGGCCAGGACACTCGCTACTAGCATGACGGCCAGGACACTCGCTACTAGCATGACGGCCAGGGCACTCGCTACTAGCATGACGGCCAGGGCACTCGCTACTAGCATGACGGCCAGGGCACTCGCAACTAGCATGACGGCCAGGACACTTGCTACTAGCATGACGGCCAGGACACTCGCTACTAGCATGACGGCCAGGGCACTCTCTACTAGCATGACGGCCAGGACACTCTCTACTAGCATGACGGCCAGGACACTCGCTACTAGCATGACGGCCAGGATACTCGCTACTAGCATGACGGCCAGGGCACTCGCTACTAGCATGACGGCCAGGACACTCGCTACTAGCATGACGGCCAGGACACTCGCTACTAGCATGACGGCCAGGACACTCGCTACTAGCATGACGGCCAGGACACTCGCTACTAGCATGACGGCCAGGACACTCGCTACTAGATTGACGGCCAGGGCACTCGCTACTAGCATGACGGCCAGGACACTCGCTACTAGCATGACGGCCAGGACACTCGCTACTAGCATGACGGTCAGGGCACTCGCTACTAGCATGACGGCCAGGGCACACGCTACTAGCATGACGGCCAGGATACTCGCTACTAGCATGACGGCCAGGGCACTCGCTACTAGCATGACGGCCAGGACACTCGCTACTAGCATGACGGCCAGGGCACACGCTACTAGCATGACGGCCAGGGCACACGCTACTAGCATGACGGCCAGGATACTCGCTACTAGCATGACGGCCAGGACACTCGCTACTAGCATGACGGCCAGGGCACTCGCTACTAGCATGACGGCCAGGACACTCGCTACTAGCATGACGGCCAGGACACTCGCTACTAGCATGACGGCCAGGACTCTCGCTACTAGCATGACGGCCAGGGCACTCGCTACTAGCATGACGGCCAGGACACTCGCTACTAGCATGACGGCCAGGACACTCGCTACTAGCATGACGGCCAGGATACTCGCTACCAGCACGACGGCCAGGACACTCGCTACTTGCATGACGGCCAGGACACTCGCTACTAGCATGACGGCCAGGGCACTCGCTACTAGCATGACGGCCAGGACACTCGCTACTAGCATGACGGCCAGGGCACTCGCTACTAGCATGACGGCCAGGGCACTCGCTACTAGCATGACGGCCAGGACACTCGCTACTAGCATGACGGCCAGGGCACTCGCTACTAGCATGACGGCCAGGGCACTCGCTACTAGCATTAAGCCTCATTCCTACATTAGTTCTCTTAGTACAGATGAAGTTCGAAAAGCCACCATTCCTTTGCGAGACTGTTACATCTAGAAAAGGCAGCTTAACCTTTACTCTCCATCTCATAAATAAGATTAAGCCTTGAATTTCAATCGAAGTCTTCTTTAAGCTGCAGGGAGTGGTCCACATCAGGGCCCTGCAAGATGTCATCAACATTCCTGCAGTAGACATGAGATTTAAGGTTCATGTGAAGAAAAACTTTCTCCTCAATAGTAGCATGAACAAAAGGGGCACCAGTGCTTTTCTCAGCCCTAAAGCTCACATGTATGATCTAGTAGATGATGCCGCCACATGTTTCCCCTCCTTTGACCGGTTTGCTAATTTTTGCATGAGTACTACTGAGAAGAGCGTTCAGTGACTTGGACCTACAGCTTATGTCTACTGAAGGTATGTTGATGACATGCCCATTACAGGTTGAAATATGAAGTATCTGACCTCCTCCGGTAGAGACATGCATATAATTCTAAAAAAATATAACTTAAATTTGGAAACTTATTTTAATCATAATGAATATTCAGTTTGTCATTTAATTAAGTATATGAGTTTTTTTACTGTGTGTGTGTGTGTGTGTGTGTGTATGTATGTGTGAGTACGAGTCCCTTCTTGAGTGTGTGTGCGAGAGGGCCGTTTTGAGATTACATGCCTTCCTGATTGTGTAAAAATGTGTCTTCCTGATTGTGTAAAAATGTGCCTTCCTTATTGAGTAAAAATGTGCCTTCCTGAGTGAGTGCAACCGCCTTTCTGAGTGTTTGTGTACGAGTACCTTTCTGGAAGGGTGTGTATGCGAGAATGCCATGCAAAGTTTGTGTATGAATGAGTTCCTTCCTCGGTGCATGTGCGAGAATGCCGTCCTGAGTGTGTGCACATACACCATCCTGAGTATGTGTGAGTGTGGGAATCCTGATTGTATGTGCAACAGACCAATCCCGAATATGCGTGTGTGTATTCACCTAGTTGTACTTGCGGAGGTTGAGCTCTGCTCTTTTCGGCCGGCCTCTCAACTGTCAATCAATCAAATGTTACTAACTACTATTTTTTCACACACACACACACACACACACACACACACACACACACACACACACACACACACACACACACACACACACACACACACACACACACACACACACACACACACACACACACACACACACACACACACACACACACACACACACACACACACACACACACACACACACACACACACACACACACACACACACACACACACACACACACACACACACACACACACACACACACACACACACTCACACACATAGGGGGCCTGGTAGCCTGGTGGATAGCGCGCAAGACTCGTAATTTTGTGGCGCGGGTTCGATTCCCGCACCAGGCAGAAACAAATGGGGACAGTTTCTTTCACCCTGATGCACCTGTTACCTAGCAGTAAATAGGTACCTGGGAGTTAGTCAGCTGTCTCGGGCTGCTTCCTGGGGTGTGTGTGTGTGGTATGGAAAAAAAGTAGTTAGTAAACAGTTGATTGACAGTTGAGAGGCGGGCCGAAAGAGCAGAGCTCAACTCCCGCAAACACAACTAGGTGAATACAACTTGGTGAATACACATACACACACATACACACTCCTCTGCCTTCTAGTGTCGTGTGGTGCATTTCCCGCAACCTTCCTTCGTAACGCAAGCCTCTTCGTTCTGGGACTATGCTAGTGGCATATCTCTGAACTTTTTCAAGCTTCGCCTTGTGCTTGACAAGGTACGGGCTCCATGCTGGGGCCGCATACTCCAGGATTGGTCTTACATATGTGGTATACAAGGTTCTGAATGATTCCTTACACAGGTTCCTGAAGGCAGTTCTGATGTTAGCCAGCCTCGCATACGCCGCAGATGTTATTCTTTTGAAGTGGGCTTCAGGAGACAGGTTTGGTGAGATATTAACTCCTAGATCCTTCTCTCTGTCCGTTTCATGAAGGACTTCATCTCCCATTCTGTATCCTATGTCTTACCTCCTGTTCCCACTGCCTAGTTTCAATACCTTACATTTACTTGGGTTGAACTTTAGCAGCCATTTGTTGGACCATTCATTCAGTCTGTCTAGGTCATCTTGTAGTCTCATACTGTTTTCCTCAGTCTTAATCCTCCTCATAATTTTTGCATCATCAGCAAACAATGAGAGGAATGATTCTATACCATCTGGAAGATCATTTACATATAAAAAACAGTATGGGTCCAAGGACTGAACCCTGCGGGACTCCACTGGTGACTTCTCGCCAATCTGAAACCTCACCCCACACAGTGACTCGCTGCCTTCTATTACTTAGGTACTCCCTTATCCAATGGAGCACCATTGATTAGTACCATGTACCATTATATGTACCATTGTACCATTGGGTACATACCAGTCAGCCTCTCGCTCACACAAGTAGGTGAATAATAGAGATGTCTGGATGACGAAGTGGTCCTCGCCCCTCCCAGTGGTCTTCACTAAGTGCTAGTTGATTGATGTCGGCGGTTCTTCACTATCTAACACAAAGCTCTGGAGTCAGTCACTGTATCATTATGTCTGTTGTGTTACAGTTCACTACTTTACCGTACCACTGTTCACTGTAGGCCAAATATTCCTTGGTACCAATATATAAACAAAGCCTTGTGTCTCTCCCACGTGACCTGTATAGGCGAATGTTCACTGTTTAAAACAAAGTTCTAGTGGTAGCACTATATTTTACGTTTCCTATGTGCGGTCATACACTTTGTGATACCCTAGATCTGTGGTCTTTCACTGTAGGCTTAATAATCCCGAGAATATTGACGATAATCGTAGAGCGCGACCCTCCCGCATCCTCCCACACGGCTGGCTGTGACGCGTATGTGTGTACTTACCTAGTTGTATTTACCTAGTTGTGCTTGCGGGAGTTGAGCTCTGGCTCTTTGGTCCCGCCTTTCAACCGTCAATCAACTAATGTACAGATTCCTGGGCTCTATCATATCTACACTTGAAGCTGTGTATGGAGTTAGCCTCCACCACATGATGTGGTGTGTGTGTGAACTTACCTAGTTGTACTTACCTGGTTGTGCTAGCGGGGCTTGAACTCTGGCTCTTTGGTCCCGCCTCTCAACTATCAATCAACTAATATACAGGTTCCTTAGCCTACTGGGCTCTATCATATCTACACTTGAAGCTGTGTATGGAGTCAGCCTCCACCACATCACTTCCTAATGCATTCCATTTGTTACTACTCTCACACTGAAGAAATTCTTTCTAACGACTCTATGGCTCATTTTGGCACTCAATTTCCTCCTATGTCCCCTAGTGCGTGTGCCTCTTGTGATAAATAGTCTGTCTTTATCTACCCTATCAATTACTCTGAGAATCTTTTATATGGTGGCCATGTCCCCTCTAATTCTTGTGTCTCCCAGTGACATGAGGTTTAATGCCTGTAGTCTCTTCTCGTAGCTCATACCCCTCAGTTCGGGTACTAGTCTGGAGGCAAACCTTTGAACCTTTTCCAGTTTAGTCTTATGCTTGACTAGATATGGACACCATGCAGGAGCCGCATACTCCAGTATTGGTCTGACATATGTGGTACACAAAGTTATGAAAGATTCCTTACACAACTTTCTAAATTTTAGGCCGTTCTTATGTTAGCCAACTGGGCTTATGCCGCTGATATTATCCTTTTGATATGGGCTTCAGGGGACAAGACTAGCGTGATATCAACCCCCAGGTCTTTCTTTCTCTCTGAATTTATTCATCTCTCTGAAGTATTTCTTCTCCCAAATGATATCTTTTATCTGGTTTTCTGTTCCCATACCTATCTTCATTACATTACATTTGCTTGGGTTAAACTCTAACAACCATTTGTTCGACCATTCCTGCAGCTTGTCCAGGTCTTCTTGAAGCCTTAAGCTGTCCTCCTCTGTCTTAGTCCTTCTCATAATTTTGGCGTCGTCGGAAAACATTGAGAGGAATGAGTCTATACCCTCTGGGAGATCATTTACGTATATCAGAAACAGGATAGGTCCGAGTACAGACCCCTGTGGGACTCCACTAGTGACTGACACACGCCAATCTGAGGTCTCACGCCTCACTGTAACTCTCTGCTTCCTATTGCTTAGGTACTTCCTTATCCACTGGAGCGCCCTACCAGTTACTCCTGCCTGTTGCTAAAGCTTATGCATCAGCCTCTTAAGGGTACTGTGTCAAAGGCTTTCCGACAGTCCAAAAAAGAAATGCAGTCCGCCCATCCTTCTCTTTCTTGCTTAATCTTTGTCACCTGATCGTAGAATTCTATTAAGCCTGTAAGGCAAAATGTATCCTCCCTGAACCCTTGTTGATGAGTTGCCACGAAGTCCCTTCTCTCCAGATGAATTACTGTTTTTTTTTCACGATCTTCTCCATCACCTTGCATGGTATACAAGTCAAGAACACTGGCCTGTAGTTCAGCACCTCTTGCCTATCACCTTTTTTGTATATTGGAACTACATTAACCGTCTTCCATATATCTGGTAGGTCTCCCGTCTCCAGTAACCTACTATACACTATTGAGAGTGGCAAGCAAAGTGCTCCTGCACACTCTTTCAATACCCATGGTGAGATTCCGTCCGAGCCAACAGCCTTTCTCACGTCCAGATCCAACAGATGCCTTTTGACCTAATCTCTTGTAATTTCGAACCCTTCCAAGACCGCCTAGTTTACTGCTACCTCTCCTAGTCCAGTGACCTCACCTTGTTCTATTGTGAAGACCTGGAACCTCTTGCTGAGTTCTTCACATACCTTTTTGTCATTCTCTGTGCACCTCTCCTCACCCGTTCTAAGTTTCATCACCTGTTCCTTCACTGTTGTTTTCTTTCTGATGTGACTGTGGAGTAGCGTTGGATTAGTCTTGGCTTTATTAGCTATATCATTTCCATACTTTTTCTCAGCTGCTCTTCTCACACTAGAATACTCGTTCCTGGTTTTCTGGTATATCTCTCTGCTCTCT